TGAGATGACTGTTGATACAATCATGGAATCTAGAGACGCTACATTTTTTTAGAATGAATTTCCTATGAAAAATGCACCTAGCACGACTGGTCATGAATTTATAATTCCCCATGAGCTTGAAACTTTTACTTCGATAGAATAAATTGAGAAACCCTATATGCAAAATCCTGAGGAGGGTGACACTATAGTCACTAGAAAAAGTAAGAGACAGAGGACTGCAAAGTCTTTTGGTGATGACTATATTATGTACATTGTGGATGACACACCAACAACCATTGAAGAGGCATATTCCTCTCCTGATGCTGACTTATGGAAGGAAGCAGTATGGAGTGAGATGGATTCTATTATGTCTAATGGAACTTAGGAAATAGTTGATCGTCCCTATCGGTGCAAGCCTATAGGGTGCAAATGGGTGTTCAGGAAAAAGCTTAGGCCTGATGGTACTATCGAGAGGTACAAGGCAAGACTTGTGGCCAAGGGTTATACTCAAAAGGAAGATGAGGATTTTTTTGATACTTATTCACGGTTGTCCGATTGACTACAATTCGAGTTTTGCTTTCCCTGGCAGCCTCCTATGGTCTTATCGTTCATCAAATGGATATTAAGACAGCTTTCCTAAACAGAGAGTTAGAGGAGTAGATCTATATGGATCAGCCGAATAGGTTTGTAGCAAATGGTCAAGAAGATAAGGTGTGTAAATTATTAAAGTCATTATATGGCCTAAAACAAGCTCCTAAGTAGTGGCATGAGAAGTTTGACAGAACTCTAACATCTGCTGGCTTTGTTGTGAATGAAGCTGACAAATGTGTGTACTATCGGTATGGTGGGGGTGAAGGAGTTATTTTGTGCTTATATGTTGATGACATACTGATCTTTGGATCCAGCCTCAAAGTGATTGAGGAGGTGGATGAATTTTTATCTAATAATTTTGAAATGAAAGATTTGGGAGAGGCTGATGTTATTCTTAATATCAAGCTTCTGAGAGAAGGTGATGGTGGGGTAACTCTGTTACAATCCCACTATGTGGAAAAGATATTGAATCCCTTTGGGTTTAGTGACTGTGAACCTGCTCCTACACCTTATGACCCTAGTGTGCTATTGAGGAAGATCTCTCTCGATGCACTTTCTATCACATTGCGTGACAGACCCTTAGTGAACTGATCTGCCAGATTGTTAAACGTGTGAACATAGTCCAACGCTATTACTCCGGAGTTTCTCAATTTTCTGACAGATTTTAGTCATCTCTTAACATACCTTGTGGACTTCATGTTGTCCTTAGAACTGTTAACCTTCGTAATCACAGTCTGGTTATCGCAGTTCATAGAATAGCCGGTATGGATTTTTCAACAACCGGTAAATCCATAAGGAGATCACGAAGCCACTCAGCCTCAGAGCCAGCGATGTCTAATGCTGTGAGTTCTGCTTTCATTGTAGACTTCGTTAAGATAGTCTGCTTGCAAGACTTTTATGAAACAGCACCACCTCCAAGCAAAAACACATATCCACTTGTGGTATAAAGCTCATCAGCATCAGAGATCCAGTTGGCATTACAATAGCCTTCCAGCACCTTCGGGTGTCTGGTATAACGAATATCATAGCTCATAGTGCCTTTTAGATAGCGCATCACTCTCTCAAGAGCACGCTAGTGATCATCTCTCGGGTTTGACACAAACTAGCTTAGCTTGGACACAGCAAATGAGATGTCAGGCCTGGTTGCACTAGCAAGATACATGAGCGAACCAATGATCTGGGAATATCTCATTTGATTCCTTGTTATTCTCTAATTGGTTTGAGACAACACTAGCTAGTAATTTAATTTAGAGAATTTACCTCCCTGAACTAGTCCCTGAATTTGAAAATGGCAGTGCATCTAGGCTCCCTAGTGGGTTTTTGTGGTTGAATGGCAAAATGGCAAAATTGTTGAAGGACTAAAGAGTTTGATGAGTCTTTAAATAGATCCTTGTGAGAGCCTAACTGAGCTATGGTTCCCCAAGCAATGGGCCGCTAGAAGATCTAGGCGCCTGAGGAACGCCATGAATCTCCCGATAGAGTTTGTTCCGTATGGCAGGAGTATGACACCTTAGCAGAGGTGTAGGGCCGTCAGCTCTAGCAAGAAGTTATTCCCCCGTCTTAGCGAGGCTTTGTCCGCCTATTTCGACAAGGGGTCACGCCCTGAGCACATGATAGAACCGACAAATAAAGAGAGTGTGTTGGCGCCCCACTCGCGAAGGAGATAGGAACGTCAGTCCCACACGTCAACCTCCCCCAGGCCTCACCCCCTTGGCGTGCGATGGACGTTGAGGGGTGTTGGACTAGGGACGGGCGAAACGGTAAAATCCCAATCTGTCAGCTTGCCTTAGTCATCTGGAAAAGCTGCCACTGGTATCCTCTACATTGTCGGCCATAACCTTGCATGGTGTGGCGACGCCCCTAACGACATGAATATAAACCCTAGCACTCCCTTGATGCCCAAGGAAGCTACGAAAGCCAACTCTTGTACACCCCTTGCCCTCCGTAGATATAAGGATAGGCAAGGGACCCCATAGAGGGGAACGAGCTCAAGAACAGACGAACCTTAGATCAGTTGAACCTGAGGACCATAGAGTATGCTCGTTTTCCTACACCATACTGTAAACTCTCTCTCTCTCTCTCTCTCTCTCTCTCGTGCACTCTAACACAAAAGAACTCTCTGGCTAGACATAGTGGTCGACGCCTGAACCAAGATAAACCCTCTTGTGTCTTAAGTGTTAACTTACCAAAGTCCCACACATCAACGTGTACTAATTACTAGCCGTGGTTACGAACCCAAGATGTTCGTAAACCTATTTGTATATACAAATTTTGATATTATATTTTAATATAAATTTGGTTAAATTAAGGAGAGTTTGACTTGTTCTAAACCTAAAATTACATTCTTTTTTAGGATGGAGAGCGTATAATGGTGTGGCCGGCCAAACGTTATTGTTACGAGTTGGAATAGCTTACCCACGTGGTTTGGTTCCTAATTAGCGTAGATTGAAACTCCATCATCATTCCGTAGTCCTCCAAATTTTGTAATCCCTCGGAGTCTGTTGGGATCTAGCTAATTAATAGTTAGGTGGTAGTACAAATTAGTGGGTTGGATCTAAACTTACATATCTAGGATGTATTTGGCAAAGCTCTGCTTATAGATTCTATGGCTCTGCCCCTTGATTCTCTAGTGAAGTGATTCTATTTTATTGTGGGAGGAGCAAGTGGAATTGATTCTAGAGGTTCTTGTGGGTTTTAAACAAGGAGGTGGAGAGCAGTTTTTTTTAGTTCCCACCTAACAGTGTAAATGGAGAAGTATTTTTTATGTGCTCCCCACCTGAATCTGTGCGAGATTAGCTGTTTGGCTGAAGATGAGTGATTCTCACGGAGAATCACTTCTAAAGAGCCCTACCAAGCGCCCCCCCTAGTTAATAGATCAGCTAGGTGTTAGCAAGGCACCCAGCTAACATCTCTCTCATTAGCTAGGCAAACTTAGTGTTAGGTTTAGTCCAACATCGGTAATTGATGGTCGGGGAGCGCAACACATAAAACCGGGCAGTACTCATCTATTAGACTAGTCTTTCGGGTTAAGTTAGACCTAAGGCCTTTGTATGTTGTGAGGTCTGGTAGACCTGGGTCTGGGGGCGTCGGCTCGAGCTAGATCGAATCCGTTGCGCACTCTGACACTCAGCTAATAGCAACTAGCTAATTGGTAGTCAATTAAGCGAAATGTCCTCCTACCGATTGGTAAACATTATAGCAACTAAGTTTAGTTAAGCAATAGTAAAAAAAGAAAGGTGTTTTTTACTCCTTTTGTCTTAAAATATAAGGGATTCAGGGTTCAAAATTTGTACCAAAATATAAGGTATTCTGAATCCTCAATCATCTCTCTCCACTATCTTTTTTTTTATAAAAAAATAATAAGATTCATTTAAAACTTGGTGTCATTTAAAAAGTTAACCGATAACTAATAGTCACTCGATCCATGCTAGTAATTCAAGTCTCGGACGACGACACGGTCTCCAAAGCATAACTTTGACTTCTTATATTTATAAAAATATTTATTGGAAAGTGATATATGCATATTTTTATGAATTTTCAAGACAAATCTATTCATATATGGTTTTCACATTTTCAAACTCAACAACTCAAAAGTTATTTATGATTTATATTCTCAACGTTTGGCCCAAGCCTTATCTAAATGACTTGAATTACCGGTACGGAGGGAGTAAGAAAAGTAACAACTAAACTATTTCCTCCATCCTATTTAACGAGGGGTACAATAGCCTTTTACCAAGTTCCTTAAGGTCCTATTTGGTTTGGGGCGACTAAATTTTAGGGACTAAACTTTAGTCACTTTTAGTCCCTAAAATGCCAAACGGGGTGACTAAAGTAGTTTAGTCCTCTTTAGTCCCAAGGGGTGACTAAAAGATGACTAAACTTTAGCAAGATGACTAAACCTTAGTCCAGTAACCAAAACTTTAGTCTGAAAATCAGTATAAAACGATACTCTAGTCGCCCATTCGTTGGTGGGGTCATCGAATACTTCTTTAGCTAATAGCTGGCGACATCAGGGAAAAAAAAGGAAAGCTAATAGCTGGCCAGAGCCAAACACCAGCTATACTAAGATAGATAAAGACTGCATTAGCTGGCTGTGGCTGCATTCAAGAGTCATCATCACATTAGCCAAAAGATTCCTCTCTTCCTTTGAGTTGAGGCACCACATAATCAGAAGATTCCTCTGCCATTGAGCCGGTGAGCTCGGTCATCAATAACGGAACCTCCTAGTACTCCTATCACCTTCACAGCATCAAAAGCTATGGCTAGCGCTAATGGCAGCAATGACGACTTGCATGTCCAAGTGGTGAGTCGGCGCTACGTGAAGGCCTCGGACGCCTCCATCGCGCCTCATGTCGTCGCTGTCTCCAAACTCGACCTCGTCCCGCAGCCAACGGCCTTCTCCATGTCCTGCATGATGACTGCATCTACCCATGGTCGGGCGACGACGGCTTCAGCGCCGTCGTCGCGTGCTTCGAAGCTGGCTTGCCAGGCCTGCTAATCACTTCTTCCCGCTCGCCGGCCGCATCGCGAGTAACCCGTGTTCGGGGCTCCCGGAGCTCCATTGCGGCAACCAAGGAGCGGAGCTCGTGGTCGGAGAGGCCCGCGTCGCCCTCGCGAGCCTGGACTACAGCACGCAGGCGGCGTCGCTGGAGAGGATCGTGCTGCCATACGGCGGCGAGGACGACGGCGTGGCCCTGTCAGTGCAGCTGGTGTCGTTCGCGTGCGGTGGCTTCGCCGTGTCGTGGTGCACTGACCATGTCCTCGTCGACGGTACCGCGCTCTGCATGCTAGTCGGCGCGTGGTCCGAGCTCGCGCGGTCGGGGACGCTCGCCGTGGGATCCCAGCCGAACCACGACCGCTCGGTGTTCCGGCCTCGCGCGCCGCCGTCCTACGGCGCGGCACTGGACGAGTCGTTCACGCCGTTGCCGGACGCCCACGACCCCAGCAACCGGCAGCAGGTCGACGACGGCGACAACAGCATCGTCAAGCGCCTCTACTACGTGGAGGCGCGCGACGTCGCACGCCTGCGCGACGCGGCGACTAGCCGGGACCGGGAGGGCCAGCGCGCGGCGTCATGCGTGGAGGCGGTCTCGGCCTACCTCTGGAAGGCCCTCGCCGGGTTCGTCGTGGGCACAGCCCACGACCGCTGCAGCGTGGGACTGGTCGTCGACGGGCGCCGGCGGTTCACGTCCCCCGGCCTCCGGGCGTACATGCGCAGCTACGTCGGCAACGTCAGCACCCTGGTGGTCAGGGAGGCGAGCGCACAGGAGCTCGTGCGGACGCCCCTGCCAGAGGTGGCGGCGATGGTGCGCGAGGCGGTCTCAGCGCCGGCGTACGACGAGCACTTCCAGGAGCTGGTCGACTGGGTGGAGGAGCACAAGGGGCCGAGGCGGTACGCTCAGACGGCGTCCCAGGGGCTGGGAAGTCCGGCGGTGATCATCTCGAGCTTCTTGGGTGTCAACACGGACTTTGGCTTCGGCCATGCTGCGGTGATGCTACCGATGGCTGCCGCGAGGCTCTCGTCAGGGTTCGTGCGGATCATGGCGGCGCCAGGGGGCCGTGGATCGTCGTGGATTGTCGGCGCCTCGTTACGGCCGCGGCTCGCTGCGGCACTCATCGACTCCGTCATCTTCAAACCTCTCACGGCGGAGCACCTTGGGCTGCGGCTGCTCGCTACCCAAGACCGCAAGAGTCGGCTTTGATACATGCATCGTCTGCGTGGTCAAACCTAAAGCTATTACATTGCATGTTCTTTTGAAGCATATTTAATTTAACCGGGACTGCTAAGTGTGAAAGTTGTTGTTGTTGTGTTGTCATTTTAATTCTATCTTAAATCAACTTTGACCAAAGTCATAAGAGAATGGATCGACATCTAGTACATCACTTAGTTTCTTCGTTAAATCAGCCTTGAAATATGCATTGATAATATATTTTATTTGGTTTTGTGGATGACAACACATTTGTTTTTTATAAACTTGATTAAAGTTTGTTTGAATTAGAACAAAACTAAAATGACTTATAATTTGGAACAAACGGAGTATTTAGAATCGTTGAGAGGCCAGTGGCGAAGCTACATGCCGTGTTGTGGATGCGGATGCACCCATAGAAATTTTGAATATCAGTGGATAGGGTTAAATTTTCACCATGGTTATGACTCAAATCTACGCATCTGCAAGGCAGCCGCACCCCCCTCGGATTCGCTCTAGCTTGAGAGGCTCCATATATTTTATGGTATATATGTGTATGGAACGTGTTGCTCCATTTGAGAAAAGAACAGTTAGGTTTTAGAGAAGTGACAGTCCTGAATGAGGCTACACTGGATTGAAATGAACCGAAAGTTGCTCATATTTAATTTGTAACAACACGAATACAATGCACATGCCCGCAAATTAACCTATATATCAATGCCAGTTTGAATTGAGTTGGCAGATCAACTCGATCAAGCTGCACCTGGCCGTGAATGGACTCAAATTAGAACTTACTTCCTCTGTTCCAAATTATAAGACGTTTTGACATTTTTATATTTGTAGCTTTTATTACGTATCTAGACATAACATATATCTAGGTGTATAATCAAAAACTTTGAATCTAGAAAAGTCAAAACGTGTATAATTTGGAAGGGAGAGGGAGTAATTAATTTGCCTAGCTGACTAATTGGTAGGGCAGTCGCGTGGCTGCAAACCTTAACTACCGTCTCAAAACTGACTCGACCAGGAACAGTTCATCATGCCTCTGCATGTCTATCTCACATTCCATTCGACTTCAATCAAAAACTAATAAGTGTCCTATCAAAGTATGAAACACGAGTCTGACTAGGATATATATGGCATATGCTCCTGCTACTCCCACGCTTAACCAGGATATATGGTATGGCGCTAGATGTTGAAGACAAAAGGCAAAAACAACATCTCTCATAATGATACTCAGGAAATTTTGACTACGTTAACAATTTGAACTGGCTAATATAATACAACGTTTTTCCGATGTCCCATGATAAAATTTGCCTTATAAAAGTGAAAGAAGAGGCAGGATACCGTTCTCATAAACTTGGGAGGAAAGGTCGAGAGCTGACATCGATCCAGTGACGGATCTCTACCGAACCCAGAAATTTACTAGTGATTAAGCGCCAAAAGTACACATGCATGCATGTGCAGCCTTTAATGCCTTTTATAAGCATCTCATCAGCTGCAGAAAAAACAACTCGGTTCCAAATTGGAAGCTTCTGTTCACTTTGCATGCGTGGCCACGACGGTGACGCGAATGCCCTTAATCCCGCCTGCTAAAACTGACCACTGCTTATACATACGGACCGTTCATTTGGTTGAGACGGGTGATAAGCTACCATTTGGTCTTTGGTTTGTTGTGAGAGAAAAAAACGTTGTTGGGTGGTTGATAAGCTGGCATTAAAAACCAATGTCGAAACAGATTGAGAGTGTCGCCGTCATCTGCTAGCTGCCATATATATGCCAAAAAAAAAGGCGAATGGCTCTGTGCGCTTTTCTTACTGTTTTTAGCATGAGCTTAAGAACTTTGAAGAGTCAGTTTAAGGGTGCCTGTCACTGCTCAGATAAAAAACTGAATGCAATAGTGACCGTCATGTTGTCATGTTTAGCACGGAGTAGTAGCTACTGTATATATGAAACTTGCATTGGCATCTCGGTCGTCGTTTCAGTTTTGTCCGGGATCTTTTTAAATTCATCTATCCTAGCTTGTTTTCTGTTTTTTACCTCTTATAAAATGTTTTGCTTGAGTCTTTTGGAACCTGTTTAATGGGATATTGTTATTTTTATGGGATTATTATTTGTGTCCCTAAAAATTTCTAGGAATTTTTGTGCACTTTTTTTTTTGGAGAAGTTTGATCCCCACACCCCACCCCAAAATTTAAACTGAAAGAGTTGAAGGCGCTTTTCCCTCGTTTAAATTCGACAGCCACTACCACATCCACATGAGTGGGCTCAGGTGCTAAAACCAATTAGATAGAAATTTGAGGCATCCACACCTCTTTTTTTTTTGAAATGTGGCATCCACACCTTTCGAACGTAAGAATTATGCTGAAATTTCATAGGAATCAGTTTATTTTTATAGGAAAAACAAAAAATCTCTATTCCAAAGGGACCTAAAATGGTATTGGAGTTGGAGGTCATAATTAGACAATCTATAGGGACAATATATATAATCGCTTATATGTCTTGACAGACATGACATAAATGTGTTTAATTGCGTAATTTACTAGCCGCTGATCAGTGCCCCCAAAAGAGTACTGTTGCGATTTGCCCTCCATTCCTATAGCTTAAACTAAGTACCGAACCACATGACTCCATTCCTATATATTTGCACGCAGTAGCTAGCCTAAAGTGTGCAAGCAAATTAAACCGCAACACCAATCCTGCCGGGTAAATAAATTAGTAATGGCGCCACGGGTACACTCCTCTTCTCCAACAACAGCAGCAGCAGCAGCAGCACCATCGTCGCCGCCGGCGACGTGCACGGGCGAGCGGAGGAAGGTGTTCACCGTGTGGATGAAGTCGCTGGTGCTCAACGGTCACGGCTGCGCCGTGTACGATTCCGACGGCGGCATCGTCTACCGCGTCGACAACTACGGCTCCGCCAGGTGCTGCGGCGGCGGCGGTGGCGTCTGCCTCATGGACCTCCACGGCACCGCCGTCCTAAACATTGTTAAAAGGGTAGGTACAAACTAAGAAGTCGTGAAACGTTCGTTTCGTTTTCGGGGCTGATTATATGTAACGTTGTTGATGACACTTGCTGCGCTTGCATGATGACTGGCTGCGTGTGCAGAGGCTCACGTTCGGCAGATGGGAAGGGTACAGGAGGTCGCCCGGCCAGACACCGTGGTTCACGGTGACGCGGCCGTGCAGCCCCTTCCGGCGGCGCCCGCCATCGTCGTGCGAGTTCTGGTGCGACGACACCGGGCGCGCCATGCGGTACACCATCACCGACGAGCGCCGCACAGGGAAGCAGGGGTGCAGGATCGTCGACCCTTCCACCGGACTCGCCGTCGCGGAGGCCAAGAGGAAGACGATGGCCTGCGGGGTGGCGCTAGGGGAGGACGTGCTCTCCCTAGGGGTGGAGCCTCACGCCGACCACTCGCTCGTCATGGGGCTGGTGCTCGTCCACGGGCTCATGAACCACACCATGTGAAGCAAAGCGACCAGGCTCTGTATGCCAGTGATGTACTCCTGCCGGAGTTGCTGGACGGCACGGTTCATGGGACAGTGATGCACTGCTGTCGGAGTTGTATTGCACAGCACGGCTCTATCCGCCGCAGCGAAAGCGAAACACGGGGCCGGGATCCCTACAGATCAGGCTGACAAAGCGACACGGTATTTCCAATTTGACATGATCCAACGAACTGCAATTGCCATCGAAATAAATTAACTAATGCAAGCTAATTTGCTTATTTGCTTACAGAAACGAAACCCGACATGAATAAAGATTTCCAGAAAATTTAACTGGAAACCACCTATACAAAAGGCTATTCTTGTTGCCACTCGGCCTGTTCGGATGGTATTAAAGCCGGCTAAAGCTGATTTGTTGTGAGAGAAAAATACTGTAGATTATATCTTCTCGGCTGCTTCTGTATGTACAAATCATCTAAAGCGTTAGGCTACATAAAGTAGCTCAGCGATGTCTTCTGCCTCGACCCGCCTTCTCCGTAGAGGTCGTTCCATTGGACGAGCTCATTCATATTGTTTGAATCCGATGATATACTCGCACAAACCTAAACACAAGGCCAGTCATGTTAGCAACACATTCTGATCATGAGCAGAGATTAGAAGACAATAAATGACAGTACAAGGTAGTGCAAGTGGCCGTAACATTTTACCTGCTCATGTGCGTGCTTGAAATCACTAAACTTTAGGGGGCGAACGTCGCCGCTACAACACTGAGGTGGGGCTGGCCTATTTTCTGTTTCAGCTAAGGTTCTCTCCTGCATTGCACATAATAATCAGTTAAGGTGTGTTTAAGTTAGCATTAAACCAATTAGGCAGCAAATCAAACTGAATATACATAAAATAATGTATGCCACGTCAATGCTTCTAGCCTTCTAGCACAGAAAATTTCATCCTTATTACATTGCTTATAATAATGTCGTAGACAGCAAGAAAACAGATAGGGAAGTGTTCCAAGAATATCAGCTTACCTTCTTCTCTCTTTCAAGAATTTCCCTTATGGGGCAATGTGCTGCAGTTATACACAGGTTCTGCAAAATAGTTGTTGCCATCAACACAAAGAAGCGAAATTCAGAAAGAGGAAATAGGATAAGAAAGAAATATCTTAATAGATAGAATACCTTCAGATCACTGCCTGAATACCCATCTGTCAGGTTTACTAGTGCCTCCAGATCTACATCATCTGCCAAATCTTCTTTTGCTAGTATTACACTAAGAATCTTTTTTCTGTTGGGTGCATCTGGCAAGTTAACCATCAACCTAAGGAGAAGTTGTGGCCGGGTTATTTATTATTACCATGTCACAATTGGCAAAAAAGTAGCATAAACACGAAATGCAATTTACCTCCTGGGGAGCCTCCTGACAACAGCCTCGTCAAGATCAAATGGCCTATTAGTGGCAGCAAGTACCAAAACGCGTTCTTTGTCTTTTGTCCTAAGACCATCCCAGTTCACCATAAACTCATTTTTCATCTTACGCATGGCCTCATGTTCCCCTGGATTCTCACGTCTACCCAGCATGCCATCAACCTAATATACAGGACACAAATCAACGAGTAAGCCAAAACAGTAATACAATGAACTTATTATGTCATAGGCATATCATCAGTGACGATTAAGAAATTCACTAACCTCATCCACAAAAATAACACTAGGAGAAATTTTGCTTGCAAGTGAAAAAACAGCTTTCACATATTTTTCTCCCTCTCCAAACCACTGTTACAGTTATAGGGTTGAAATCAGCAAAGTAATAAGTACTCCAAAATGAGAACAAACTCGATGAGTATAACATTACAAAAGTACCTTCGAAGCAATGCTTGACATTGATATGTTGATAAAATTAGCACCAGCCTCTGTCGCAACAGCTTTGGCAAGCATGGTCTTACCAGTGCCAGGTGGACCAAAAAGCAATATCCCTTTGCATGGCTGGGGCAAATAGATGATCAGAACTATGATCGCACACAGGTATGAGTCGGGAAAAGAAACATTACATTAAATGTAACCAAAAAAATACCACTAGGTAACATTCAGCATCCTAACTTTATAGGTATGAGTCGGGAAAAGAAACATTACATTAAATGTAACCAAAAAAATACCACTAGGTAACATTCAGCATCCTAACTTTATAGCAATTCCTTTGTTTCGATTTAATTCAGGAATACAAGATAAGAAACACAGAAGAATGATTTTGGTAAGGAAAGCCTCAACAAAAATAAAAGTCCCTTAACTCTCAAAACCGTTTAAAATTGGCTCTCGCCCCATTTCGGCCTTGGTTTTGGCCGGTCCTCGCCCCTCGGCAGCCTTGCCCACGGTCCAGCAGAGAGAGAGAGAGAGCGAGGCGAGGCGGAGGCGCAGGGCTTGAGGCGGCCAGCAGGGAGGCCGGAAGCGAGCTCATGAAGGTGAGCAGCTCTACGGCATCGGCAAGGCCTCGCTGGCAGCGGCGTCTGGCAGGAAACGCGTTTAGCATGACCTCTGGCTCAGCCTTGCCGCTGCCGCTGCTACGCTTCCATTGCTCACAGCTTCAGCGGCGCTCGCACTGGCGGTCCCTTAACTCTCAAAACCGGCGCCCATTCGACCGTTTGCGCTTCTCCTTGGCGCGAAACATTTCAGAGCGGAAGGAAGGAGAGAGAGAGAGACCAGAAGAAGCCTTAGCGTAAGCGGCGGCTCAATGCGCTGCTCGCCCTGCCGCACTGGCACAGCGCCGGCACTTGGAAAGCTTGTTTTTTGTGCAGCCTGGCGCGAAGCCGACGCTTGCGCCGTTTTCAATGCGAGGAGTGGCGCCGGCCAGTGGCTTCGGCGAGACTCGAACTCCGTGTCCAAGGTCCTGGGTGGAGGCGAGGCCAGCAGCAGCGGCCAATGAAGGGGACCTTCAGCGGTGTCGACGACAGTGAGCTTGGCGCGCGGGCGGTATGGCGCGCTGCTGACGCGAAGCGTCCAGGTCCGGCGCGAGGTCGGTGGATGACAGACGACTGCGGCGCTTCGGCCCGAAGCACGAAACTCCGAAAGTGATAAGCGCCTCCGCCGCCTCCTCTACTCCTCTTCCTCCTCCTCTCTTCGCTTCGCTCTACCTTTCTGCCGCGTTGCACCAGGCCCGCTTCCTTCTAGGAAAGCCTCAACAATATACCCCAAAAAAAAACAAGGGGGGTGTCATTGACAGAGTTAAAGGAAAGAAAACTGAACTCCAGGAAACAGAAAGTAATGGAGTTATTAGTGGGGAAAAATAGCAAACCACCAATCTAATGCTAGATCTGTGTGTCCGCAATCCACACCTTATGCATGACTAAACATACAGATACATTGGGCTTTCAAGAAGGGTCGCACTTCAAACAATAATTTCGCAAAAAAAATGAAGTTTAGAGAATGGCATGTACCTTCATAAGTTGTCCTTTGGAGAATAACTCAGGCCTTTGCAAAGGCAGCATAACTAACTCCTTCAAAGTTTCCTTGACATTTTCTAATGCTCCAATATCCTCAAAGGTAACACCAATCTCATCTGGAGGGATGACGTCCGTAAGAAGACGTTTTTCAAATTCATTCTCCGTGATGACATCCTAACAATGACAAAGAGAATGTAAGACAAAGGCAACAATATAAAGTTATTTTATCATGGTAAAAGCAGATAATGAGATAACAAATTTATTTTGTTGACACTCAGTGTAGCACTATGTATTCTTTATAGATAAGAGAACAGCGTGCAGTCATAATAACATGAGGCTATCTTAATAATTCGAGAAAACAGGTCACCTTGAGTGACTTCTTTGTGCTCTTCTTCTTAGGGTCACTTTGGATACTTTCCAACAAATCAACTCCATGCTTAAGGCTGCAGTTTAGCAAGCATCAGCAAAGCAGTCACCAGATAAAACTGGGAAACAGAGTTTCCCACAACAATACCAAGTTACAAACCAAGAAAGTTTAGATACAATACTTTTCACCGGAAAGGACAACTCTCGCATCCTTTCCAGGAGTTTGAATAGGGCGATCCTTGAGTTGATAACTAAAAGCATAACCAACTATTTTATCAACACCTGAAAACACAAGTAGCAGACTAAAGCTACAGAGACTAATTTATATCAAATCAACGAAGAAAGCAGGAGTTCTACTTACATTCGCTTGTCAGATTACGATCTTTGACACAAACCACTGATTCTAAATCAGTACATTCCATACCATGGCGGGTTAGAAACTGCATCCAGCAGCAGAAATATATTAGCGAAGTCTAACAATATCGCAACACAAGAACAGAAACGGCAGTAGTGTGAAGTAAAAAGCCCATGCAGTATATGACTAATATATATAAACAACTCCAGAGTCCAGATAGGTTTGAATATTCCCCAGAACTGTATTAAGCCCATACAGAAATCAGTCAATACAGTGCTTTTATACCGTCCCAACCCTGTATATTAAGGACGTTGACTAAAAGAACTGCAGACCTATCCCCATTATGTCTATAGATTTGCAACAAGCATGACACACACAGCAAAGGGATGTGCAGCCAAACAATTCCTTTGACTATAAAATGAGAATATTAGCACTAGTGAGGTTTTAATGAAAAAGAAAAATTAAGCATTACAGTGTTACACCGATTATTGAATTCAGAAAGCTAACAGACCAGGCACCAGACTACCAGAGGAAACAAACGCAAATAAGTTTATTATAAATAATAAAACATAAAGGGCTATCTTCACGACACACTTACAGATTGCATTTTCAAAACATTAGCCTTCGCCTTAAGAATTTCAATGTCACGATCCAATAGCTGTTTCCACTGGGAGAGTTCTTTTTCATCCTGTAGCATATTTTAAGAGTTAAAAACTTGCAAAAGAAAATTTCCAGATATATATAACATAAATGACAGACCTGAGGTGGTTCAATTGTCACTTTATTTGGGAAAAGTTTAGTTATATGCTTTGACATCTTGAGTGCTTCTTTATTTTTTTCACTCACCCGGCCAAAGCTATCCTGCATCGAG